TAACTAGACAAAGGCCGAAGCACCATAGTCACGCAATACAGCACAACGTACCAAATTGTAACTAGTCAGATAGAACGGCCTTTGGCCAAAGTCTTACATAGCCAACGGCTGATACAGGACTATAATGGAATAATAATAATAATAATAATAATAATAAGTAATAGGCGATGTTGTTGCGCTGTCTTCTGTGAGGAAGCATCGGCCTTGTGAAGGAACAAACGGCCACAGAATCGTTGCACTCTTCCCTACTTCCCCATGAATTCTAAAACAAGCCGACATTGCAAGCAGATACACTGCGAATAGGGGGCCAACATGAAGTGCCTATAGTTGTGATCAAAGTTTCTGTACAAATTCGACAAAATTGTTGCTTATCTTCGAGAGTAAGTTGCGAGGAGCTGATATGAATACAAGGAAATTTCCATTTGTCAGATCTCTACAATGGCCGACGTCAATAGCTGGTGTGTCTGAGGTACTTGTACCTGCACGCGCCTCCATCCTGCGTAGTAGTCAATGCGGACAGCTAGCGGCAAATTGTTCGCGCCAGGCACTACGGTTACTAGCCCGCACTCGCGCGCGACCGCGACACTGCCAACATGGCAGATGGGAGGCCAACACCCCCGTCCTGCCAGACACGAAACCGCATGTGCCTTGTGATCCCCGCTATCGCTCTGTCTAGATCTTGGGTCGCGTGTCAGTCTGCCCGCTATCACATCGTCTACCAATCGCATAATTGTACCGCTTCAACACGTGCTATTTTCCAGCAATCATAGCAAAATGTTACAATTCTCGGGCAAGGTTTCACCCATGTCAAGCTCCAGGTCCACACACACACACAACACTTTTGCTACAATTTCCCCAGGCTTCACCGCAGACTGGTGGTAACAGCAGCAGTACTGCGTTCCAACGTGTAAAGTTCTGGTCTTGGAAGCGACATTCCCTATATGGTGGAATAACGTACAAGACTGTCGAGCCCGATTCAGCTCCAACGCTCAGCCGTGGTTTGTGGCTACTTTCCTTATTCCTTTCGCTAGCCATGTGGATGGAGGGTGCAGTCGGCAGGCAACCCGAGTACAGGGCAGCATGAAACGGCTACCGTCAATGTTCAAGTTTCCGTGCGCGAGCGATTGGCATTGCGCCAACTTGTTGAGCATTTGTTCCTGAACTCGTAGCATTCTATGGATAGATATCTTGCCAAGAATAGCTTGGTTCCCTCTGCGAAATATACCATGTATCCCTTGACGGCTGTGGTCGAATTCGGTCCGATTTCCACTGAAAGTATTACGGTACAGGGCATGAGTTTTGTACGGTGGAGACGCTAAAATGAAGATCAGGACTTTCTTCGGATTATTTGATACAAAAGGTATGACGCTTACGGTATAGCTTCTACGTTCTACAGTATAGCTCTTTCTTTCACCCTGGCCCGTATCACAGTAGATGGGCCGAAGCTCAGTGCGTACCCTGTCCGCTGCCAGGGCAGATACATTGATCGCCGAGCCCATGCGTCAATGGCAGATCCCAGATCATGTCCTGTGATCCCGGACGCTTCCTGCTTCCTAACTCTAGCCATCGACAGACTCCACCACCACGCCCAGCCCGCCGACAAGAGTTGACATTTTACGTCGAAATCCGTACTTGGGTCGAAGCTCAGGACGGTCTGAGCGTGGAAACATGGGCCCCCAACCCTTTATAACCCAGCGAGCCCTCCACCTGGCATGGATACTTTCAATCTGAAGAGACAACGCTCTTTAGTAACTATCTCCAGAGAGAAGCGTTATCTTTCACCATCAATCCTTGTTACCATTATACTCTGCTATCTACTTACATTGTTATCCGGGACCCTGGCGCAAATCGTTTCCAGATTCCACCGACAACTCCGGCGCTACCATGGCTTCCCCGCCCACACGACCCACGAGCTCCGAGCTCACACCTCTGATGCTTCAGGCAGCCAAGGATCTAGTATTCAAATGTGGCCTACAACCGAATGGTCTTGAGCCTGCACAGCTTGACTTGATTTTTCTCGATGACCATAAAAGCAAAAACTTCGTCTTTAGCTATGCCCTCAGGAGACAACTTGGTTCCGTTGACTTCTGGGCACTCATTGCAGAGCTTAATGACGAACGCACTGGCATGTCGTACCTCTCAAGCTATTATAGCATCACAAATAACCATAGCCCAGGCAACAAACGCGCACAGTTAGCATTGTCAGCCACTGGGAGCCCGCCTGCTGTTCCCCATGCAAGTGCATATCCTTCCGACCACACAGCCGACCGTCGCATACTGCAAACACATGGTGACACTATCACCACTCCAAACTCAGACGATTTAGATCAAGCGTCTCCAAACCAAAAACTTTCTCAAAGCGTCGTTGCAGGCAGACAGAGAGAAGCCGATCAACCCTGTTCGGACACACCCGGCGAGCCTGAGCCCAAACGCCAAAAGCAAACCAGCTCTACCACAGCCAACAAAACAAAAACCTATACGCCTCGAGAGTGCCCCGGCTCATATTCACGAGGTGGGAAGCGAATTCCATGCGGAAAACCTTTCAGTTACGAAGCTAGTTGAAAGAAGCACTGGGCTGAGTTTCACGACGAGCATTTCAAGCTAGATACACCAGATGGAAAGAAGGAATACGGCTGCGTGCATGGCTGTCTCCCCAGCTTCGAGCGTTCTGCCTTAATGATGCACCTATGGAAGGAGCATGCGAAGGAACTTGACGCGGGAATTTCGTCTTCAAATATGGTGGGTCATTTTGAAACTGCCAACAGTCATCAGATTTCTTCCACTACAAACACCTTTCCAGGAGCTTCCAGTCAACCCCCATCTTCCTTCCAGTCAAGTTATGGCAACCAGTCCCAGCCCGGACCTCACTACGTCAAGTGCGACACACCCAACGATAACTCGAATGTTAAATGTGACAGTCACCTCAACATCCTTAGGGGGGGTTTTACTCGATAACGATACTTCTCACGGATACTTGCATGATACCTCATTAGTTCAGGCAACTCCCTTGCATGACGCGTCGAATGGTACCACACAGGCCTGGAGCGGAGCAACACCCGCTCCCCCCGGTTTCAATGCTAACTACGGCACCAACATCAATATTTCTGAAGGGGTCTACACGAATTATAATAACGTTCCTGAATTCGGTCTGGATGGTAGCACCTTCGGTGCTGTACATGCACACGCTGAGTGGAACATAGGGCCAAACTCTTAGCTCGTGCTTGAAATCCCAACGTTCTACGCGACATTCACCCTTCTGCTTTTGCTTAAGCGACCGCTCAGCATCATGAGAATTCAAGAAGGCCAATATAGTTGGTTCGATGCGGTTGACCTAGCTGGGAAGCTCCTAGGCAAGGCTATCACCAGCGTTGCCTCGAACGAGCGTTTCACTCCAATCTCCACGACGGCTTGACGACTCATGGGTACCTCTTCTCGGAAAAGGGATTTTCCGATTCTCCGAAACTCTTTGTCCATTATCTCGTGCCAATATCAATCGTTTCACTGGTCTCGAGTCTCCGCTTCACTATACTATAACTTTAGCTCAATATCGGAGGCGCAACTGATGAACGGATACCCGCATACTGCATACCAGCATTAGAATCTCGGAGATCACATCTCAATATAGTACCATAGAATTGACGAATGACCGATATACACCCCAGCCTTTAGGTTGATATTACCGTCTTGGCCGTAGACTTTATCTAGTCATGCTCTTCACCCATGTGAACTCCAGTCAAGCAAGTGTATGAATGACCCAAAAGATTACTATCATTCTTGTAAAAATGGCTTTACAGGTCTCCGCCCCGCCTGAAAAGTTGTTCCAGCCCGCTCGTACAGAAACCGCTCATACCGAAACCCAAATGCAGCCCCTGTCCGAGGGAATTGGGATCAGACTTGGGATCAATCAAATCAATCAATCTGAGTGTTCATTTTTGACTGACCCTTAAGATCCTCTGGAATCAAATTGTATTGATTGATCCATATCTTGGTGATTTTTAATTTATATTTCGGTTGATTTGATTCGTTTCGATTCATAATTTCCTTGTCTAGCGATTGAAACTAGAAATTGCTGATAGAGTGGTAAGAAAGCTGGTGGTGGGAAGGGTTCTCCATGTGCAATTTTTCGTTTGATAGGATATGATGTAGGAGTTTGTGAACCTATTGTATACCTGTATACTGGGGACGGTAACTCTTACTAAATGATTGTTTATACCCACTTAATTATTACACCAACTTCAGGTCCATGTACTTAAACCCCAAGTCTCCTGGCTCCACCCCCAAGGTACCCATTCCAATCCTTTTCCAGAACCCCTGCTTTCCTTCTACCTCGCTCACCAACATAACCCAACATAACCTTTCCCCTTCAGTTCCCACTTTGGGTGTCTGTCTCACAAGTTAATTAGCTTTTCTGTTGTATTTCTCCCCACATCCCTTTTCCAACAATATCACACTTACCTTCGCTTCGTCTCCGAAACTACTCGTATCAAATATGAAATTATACTTCAGCAGCTCAGGCAAAATCATGTCCTCGAATCGCTCAGGTAAATCGAAATTCGGGACTGGGTTTTCTAGATACTCAGGAGACGGCATTACGTTAGGGAGAGGTGAAGGCAGGACATTGCTTCCGTCACTATCATCGAAGAGCAAGAGGCTTCTTTTCTCCATGATCGGTGCCAATTTGCGGTCGAACATATGACAAAGCCGCTCGCAGGAAGGCAGGAGAACGCACTGCACGTGACTGGTTGTGGCCACGCAGTCAGAAATTACAGAATCGTCTAGGCTCACGAGTCCAATAGCAGTCTCGCGGTTAGGATTTCCGGGATCGAAGAGAAAGAGCACAGGGCGGCTTGTTGAGTGCGCAAAGTACAGCAGTGCGGATTCGGGAATCAGAGAGCATGCCCATGGAATGTAGTGCTGGGCGGCGATCCAGTTTCGACTCGTCTCTGTTGCTACGAGCGATGCTACTGGTGCAGTGGTACTCAAGACTCCCGTCTCATCGATTCGAAGACCGCCTTCTATGTGATATACCGCGGTCAGGTTAAAGCCAAACTGCACCATAGTCTGCCAGTAAAACTTCGATTCGCACCTGGCCGCAAAGCTCCAAGACGGCGCCTCTGGACCTTTGAAGTCGTACTCTGGCCCACCCATCACCCACAGTAGCAACTCAGGCATATGTGTCCAGACTCCAAAATGGTAGGAACCTTCCATGGTTGTCTTTATCTGGCCGACAACACCTTCCAGTGCAACATGCCGGTCCGTTTCGTACGTCAGATCGTCGGCGGAATACCGCTGCAGCAGCTCGGGCCACGACCGCTTCTCCTTCATGTCGTAGTATACCTCGCGTTCGTTCCATTCGAATTGTCTGCACTTCCATGATATGCCACCGTGTGTGAAGAAGAGCATGCGCCGGGAAAGATACCATTCCTGACGCGCCCAAGCGCGTGAGCCCAGGCGAGTGTAATACGGGTTGTAGTTCTGCCATGGTGTTGCTGCAAGATGGACTGTTACCGGTACATCGTTTTTCCCCATGGATCTAACAGTGATCTGAGGTGGGTTCGGCGGCGATGTTCTTTTTGTGAATCTCGACCTGTACATGTTTTCTTCTTCGAATGTGGCACTCATTTCAGTGAATGTTTCCGCTTCGGCAGCCTTTAAGCACTTGTGCATGCGTTCAAGGTCTTGTCGTACAGTTACAAAACAGCCTTCCGTACTGTCTCTGGCATCCGCAGCAGCAATGGTAAGGCGAGCGTACTCGTAAACGGCTCCCATTTTCGCAGATTCTTGTTTCCAGTCCTCGATGTCGTCTTGGATTATACAAAGAGAATCGATCCAGAGATATTTGACGCCGATATGTTTTGTGACCTTGACAGCGTCTCTGAAGGTTTTCGGTAAGTCTTCTAGTGGGATACCCGCGAGACGCTCAGCATAATTCACCTTTGTTGTCTTGAGTGGATGGTTCTCCGGGTTACCCCAGCAGTGGCTCAGCGCAACGTAACACCCTGTCTGACCTTCTCTTGTTTCAACCAATTTGACGTGATCCGTATGTATGGCGAGGACACGGTGCGGGAGCGGCGCATCAGTGTCTTCCCACGGGAAACATAAGCTATCGAACTTTGAATACCGGCCATCAATACTCTTTCCTGTAAGCAAGCGCTTGCAGAGTCCATGAGAGCATTCACAAACTCGCAGCCACTCATTCAGATAATTTAGCGTCTCTTCCGACTCGTCGTCGACCAGGGCCCCATATTTCCGATACGCGACATCGGTCGACGCGCACGCTTGTAATTGCGCCTGCCGATTATCCGCAGTCTCGGGCTCTAGTATGTGTTCGGAAATGAAGTTGGGTTTGTGGCGCGGGCATTCTGTTTCTAGAGGGACGTCGGCACAGGGCGTGTCTTTCCAAACCGCGAGCGTGATTCTGCCGCATCGCATCTGGTTGGTTTCCAGGCTCCCCCATTGGAAATCGAATACCACTTCGCTCACCCTCTTGCAGACATCCACTGAAATTACAAATTCCACCTTCTTACCAATATCTAGATTCGTCTCCGTTCTCCACTCCGTATCATGGATGGCATTTTCATTGTTGAATGAACCAAGGGTGGCGACCGGAGACTCGAAATTATCCTGCCACTTGAATTGCACTGAGACGACAAGATTGCACAAATCGCAGTCGGGAGAGGATTCCAGAATCTTCAGTACGCTCTTGTGCGGTATGGGTAGGCGTTTCGTGTTCATGCGGTCATGGAGAAATGAGACGAGGTCTTTGCATTCGGTGCAAAGAGGCATGATATCGGACTATGAAGAAGTGGAATGAAGTGTCTAGGATGAATGTTTGCGGTGGAACATGAAAAGCTGCTTGTTATATGGCTAAATTCGAGCTGGGAACGAATTCCTTGTGAGCAGAGAGAGTCGGAAACTCGGGCTGGAAGCAAAATAGGATCCGACCTGACATGCTTTTCCTACGTAGTTGAGGGTGTAGGACTTGGCGTGTCTGGGGGGGAATTTAGGTTAGTCAATGGCGTGTATTTTCTTGGCTAATCATGATGCCCTCCTGCCACGGCGGCTACTCGTGCTGATTCAATGGTTGGTAAACCTGCGTCTGTGGCTGGCATTTGCTGCCACTAGGGAGCGTGCAGGTCGATGGTACGGTATAGGGGTGCCATTGGTATGACTGCTTGTGGAGGTCTGGCGGGTATAGCACTGACAGTGCTCATAAAGACGGCAACGGCTGCCGCGTATTTGGTGAGTAAGGCCATTGTGTGCTGATATAGTTCTAAGATGCTGAGTGAAGAAAATGATGATGACTTCGAACCAGGTACGTCGAGGCGGTCTTTATACCGTACTCCAGGAATCGGTTTGAGCGTCAATTGCTATGTACTGCTTCACATACCATATCCCCAAACATGTTCTGCAGGGGCCTCCCCATTCTGTATGTCTATGAAGAGTAGAATTTCAGGTCCTATTAACTAGGCAATTACTTTTCCGTGCTGCAAACATCAGCCTTGTCGACTCGTGTGCCACGCAGTATCTTCATCGTGATCATCGATGCATAAAATCTCCGCCAGTGCCCAATCAGGAAGTCTCCACGGATCCCAGACTGACCAGGCCTCCCATCATGACCTTGCAAGCGTAACAAACACAAGGCCTCGAAGTAAATCTACGTACCCAAGTCTGACATGCCAAGGAGCTGATCCAACTACCTATGTAGGGGTGGAGCCAAGGCCCCCTACTCAGGATCGTAACAGATGGGCCGCAGCGGGCCGCCTTGAAACGAGGCTTGGGTGAGATCCCAGCTGTTTACAATGCCAAGCAGTCAGTTGGTCGATCAATCGAGATCGGGTTGATCATTAGCGACTCTGGATTGGCATTATCCGGCCACAATTTGGTGGAGGACGATGTTTGGAAAAACTAATTGCGAGACAGAGGTGATGGCCTTGCTGCCTGACGTCGGCCACTAGTATCCCAGAGGCTTGTACTATGAAGGTAGTTACCTTCGTCAGGTTCAGATACCGGTAACCCGTGCATCCTTGGACCTGGCGTGGTGCGATGCTCGAAGCGCCCACTCTGCCTGAGTCCGACGTGGGAAGGCGAACTTGCGCTGCCGAGGCACTGAGGCTCCTACCTTGTTGGTGCGATTGCCTTTGGTGCATTTTTTGGGTTCAGCGCATTTCAGCGTTACAATGACAGTGAGGACCCCTAATGCTTGGCGTCAGGAGGAGAGACTGCTTTCCGGTGGCAATGCAGCTAGGATTCCAATCCGCAAAATGACCGGCGATCAATCTCAACCCATAGCAGCCTTGAAAAGTTGACCAGTAGAACGCCTCGCGAAAGAGATTGATAAATAGTCATGTTGTACAAGAGGCATGATGCGATAGTTGTGGCGTCCGATCGACATCAGCCTAGTAGAGATTAGCGCTGGGCGCAGCAATGTAAGGCGGGTCGAGGGCCTGATCTCAAACCGGGTATGCAAGATGGTCGAAGACGAAGCTGGAAAGCATATGAACGGCATGATACACGATATTAGACCAAGCGATCACTCCACACTATAACCTATTCACCAGCATAGATATGAGTTTATATACTATGTTGTTTATGACGAGGTACCGTCCTCTTCAGGATTGTCTTCTTGGGACTCGGTAGGCATTTCCCCACGCCTGACCTGAGCAAAGGTTGTGGCAAAAGCACAACATATCCCTCGCCACGCAATTTGGGACTCGAGGGTCCTTTCAATATCCCGAAGAAATCTAACAGCATCGTCAGACCCTTTCAATAGCCCAACTCCCGTCAAATGAATCAAGTAATGTTCGTCAGCGCTCTGGATCCATCGCTCGATACTAGACCGGTCTCTCAGCTGATCTAATCGCACAACGGTTGGTGGTGAATCCTTTTCAGAGGCTCTCCTCTGGCTCATCAACGTAGTCTGACGGGATGCTGACGTTTCGGATATGAAGAATGAGCAGTAGCAGTAGATGTAAGTGGTACAGATCAGTATACTGTACACGTCGTAGCAGGCCAGCTTCCGCGAACTGCGCGTCTTCTTGAAGATGCATGTCGCGTGCCATAAGCATCTGCGAGCTTGCACGGTGTTTTGTTGACAAAAGTCCACAAATTTTCTCCTAGCCCGGTGCATGTTCTCTTTGGTTGTCTTCCATCCTGTCGCTGTGTTAAGAATCTCTAAGGAGACGCGTCTCAAGATAGCCAAAACGTGAAAGATGGTCTCTATCTGGTGATGCGGGCCGATTGATGAGCCTTCTAGAGTAGCGTACGATAGTAAGTCGACCGAGGTGTCGAGAAGGGTATTGTCGCCTCTCATAAACTCAAAATCTGCTAATGGAGGCGACGATGTGCCGTGACCCATACCTGTATTTGGGATTTGCAGATAGGAGGCTACTGAGGATCTGAATAGTCGGGAGGAATACAACTGTCGAGCCACTGTTGCTTCATCGATGAGCAGCTCTAAGAGTGCAGCCCTACAAGTGAACGCATCGGACCTCAGCATCGTTCTAGGCCAGTGCTCTGGAGAAGACGTTCGTTTTTGCTCAGCATAGGAGGCTGCCAACAAGGTTAGTCGCATGGCTCTAGAAAGAAGTTGAGTTGCATCGCTTGCTTACCTGGTAAAGTCTGATAGGCGTGCTTCCAACTCTGTGCATCTTTGCACCGCCAAAGATCTTCCGGTGATGGAAGTTGACGCGTGGCATCACGGAGATTGAAGTTCGTGGGAATTTCGAGGGAAAGAGAGCATATACACTCGATGACTACGGTGAAAAAGCATCAATCAGCTGTTATACCTCCCTGGGGTAGAGCTCAACTCGTATTACCTCTCACGCAAGTCAACAGACGTATCTCTTCCTCTCTGGAAAGCCAAGATTGCCACTCGGCTTCTATGTCGGGATTATCAATGGCAACTCTTCTTTGCGGTCGTGCTTTGCTCAGCAGATCCCAGCAAAGGTTTATCAGCATACTTCGTTTATGCTGCAGAATAACCCTCTCTCTATAAGAGCCAGAAAACATAAGAAGGATGTGAAGAAGCATTATAGATTGAATGACAACAAGATCTGTTTGTAGGACATCCTTAGAGACCTGCCATGGGCTATGATCAGCGGTGTATAAGGGAAGGGGAGGAGGTCAGCGCCCAGGATAGCGTGACTGACCTTTGACTCTACTGCCCGGCAAAGGAGGTCAACAAGCGTCAGGTTATATCTCTGAGCATCAGTCATCTCGGAATAATGGCTCCCGACGGCAGCTACCGCCAGTAGCAAGATCCAGGGTACTTCGTCAACGTTTAGACGATTTGGATGCAGAAAAGGGAATTGAGGATCGAAATGCTCGAAGTAAAGGTCGATAAAAGCGTGAAAGATACGGTCATGGACAAATGGTGCACGAGAACTTCGTCTTTGCGATTCATAGAAGTCATGCAAGCCTCGAATGCCAGAGTTCGGCAGGTATGGAATATGGCCATACAGTTCGGTAGCTGCAACTTCCAAACTGGCACCAGTCAGCTTCGGGAAGGATCTACATGACCGAGGAAGATTCGGGTTTGTATTCCTGGGGTCCCAATGACCTTGCGGAGATTCGTCTGGAAGCTCATGGTGGAGGGATGTTCCAGACTCTAGGGACGCAGTACCATTGAGTGAAGCCGATGGAGTGAGAGCCGAGACTTGGCCGAAAGCTGGTAAGTGGTAATGTGAATCGAAAAGCCTTGACTGATCTATATTTCTTCCTAATCTATCCCAAGGCCATGGCAGTGAGAGATTGATTGCCATTGGATTCCAAGGTACCCATAAATCATCGGTCATTCCAACGAATTCGCTGCTGCTGCTGCCGCCTTCAAAGTACCCTCCAGCCACAAAGTCAGAGCCTCGGCGCCATGCAGCGGGGCCTTCGAGTGACGGGGCGGGCACAGCATCAGGCGAGATAGCAGAAAGGCTGCTGAGGTTTGAGGGCATCATGCGATGGTCACCCCACTGCCCTGACGTTGTTTGTACATCAACGGGTAGTGAGCCATTGTGAGCTATTTGGGTGGTCTCAGGGCGAAGGTGGACGCTGCCCACGTCGTTGGTTGCAGTAGATTGTGGTGGCGTTTGGTTCGAGATATTTTGGCTCGATCTCCCATCATCAATCATATCGGAATCAGCTAGGCCATTGGCTGCTCCTGGCTCCCAGGAAGGGTCAAAGGAGCACGTTACGCCCCGGACCAAGCATCGTGAGCAAGGGGAATTCCCATCACAACGCTGCTTCAGCCTGGAACAGGATTGACAAGCTCGGGAGGCACGACCTCTAGGACTTTGAATTACATCTTGACGATCTCTATGTAGATCGCGATGCCTTCGGAGGGTATCGCTGCAGGAAAAGCATCAACATGGTGAAGTTGACTTGCAGCCCACAATGGGGATACAGATAGACTCACTTTCGAGAGAAGGACTTATGGCATACATCGCAGTTGAACGGCCTGAGACCTGTGTGCCGGAGGACGTGGCGGTTCCGATGCTCTCGACGATGGAATGTCTCGCCGCAATGCTCACAGGACAGCACGCTTAACTCAGTCTGCATTTCGACCCAGTAAGGAGTACCTACTGCACCCGTCGGGGGAGAAGAGCCGCCCCCTGAGGCAACGTGCCGTGGGTCACGAATCCGTGCGGGCAGGAATTGCAGTGTGCGGGACTTTTAGGTGGCAGTCGGGTTGTCGCTGAAAGGCGGAGCCGCAGTATCAGCGAATCCGGTCAATGTGAGTCAAAAGAGTTCTCCGCAGACTGCGTCAATAGACTATTGTGAGGAGTCTTCTGACATGGCTGGACTGACTGCCCACTCGGGTCTGAGGCGCTAGCTCGGGCGGTCATGCCACTTAGCGTTAGTCTCGGCAAAAGCTCGGCCCATCAACCGAAACCCCACAATCCCTCCCCCACACATCTCGTAGCTACCCCGCCGGCTGCGCCTCTGTGGAATGCATCCCTCACGGCTATGGCGTCACGCGACACTCCCCATCCCCTGCCCTTCCGTCTTCCAAACCCTCCTAAGAGCGAGCTTTTACACTTACAGCATGTAGAGTAGTCGGACTCTTGGCGCGGATTCTACAGTACCGAGCTACCTCTGCGCTTCTTTGAGCTTCTCATTCATCAACAATCAAAGCCGGCGCCTACAGCTATTGCGATTCTTCAACGTATCAAACTATTTTGACGCGCTGCTCCCATCAACACTGCTCATCCCATCGGCAAGGCCTTGTGTGCAGCGATCCCGAATAGCCATGAATTCCACGACCCTCGAATGGTTTGGTCTGTCTGTCTCTCACCCTTTGCAGCTTCTTCCTTACCTAAATCCAACTGACACGATGCTGTCGTACTAGGCGCAACGACCTTCCGGTTGAAGACCAGGGGCGTCAACATCTTCCTCGACACCTGGCTCGACAAGCCATCTGTGCTCACCTCGCGGCTTGCCGTTGACGATGTGACGGAAGCCGACTACATATTTATATCTCATGCACATTTTGACCAGTGAGTGTCCTGCTCTTGCAACGCCCTAGATGATGATGTCGACTCGTCAACATCTATTCGTCAAGTCTGGCGCTGATGACTCTTGTGCCCGCGAAGCCTGCCAGGTGCCGACCGCATCGCCATCAAGACCGGTGCCATAGTGATAGCTAATAACGAAGCCATCAACCTTCTCAAGAACGCTGGTGTCCCCGACGCGCAACTGCTGCCAGTTCAAGGCGGCGAGCGTATCCCTCTCTTTACCCGTGCGATCCGTGAGAAAGCCCTTAGTGACCCCTCCGTGGCAGCACCAGGCTTTCCCGGGGCGCCAAAGCGGCCTTTGCCTACTCTTGCTGCCCTTTCGGTCGATATATGGCCTTCCCTGCACTGCCTTATGCCGGAAGACCACCCGGATGTTATTGATACCGGGACCGTTTACACGGGATCCGCAAGCCCTTACAGCTGCTCACTAGACATTACCATGGGCATGAAGTATGGTCTTTTACAGATTGGAGACCTTATGCCACCAGAGAAGCGAACTCCAGGTCATCAATCCTTCATTGACTATGTCAAGGATCGTAAACGACACGTCTTCTCTCACGCCGATGGAGGCCAGCTAATGTTCAACATTATCATCGACAGCAAGGCACTTCTCTGGTCCGCACATCTAGGGGGTTACGAGGGCGTTCTGCGCAATCTGCAGCCACAGCCCGAGGTTGTCATCATGGCTATTGCAGGTCGGGCGAATCTCAACGGCAGGCCTTTCGACGGTTCCGCAGCCGAGTTCGCAGCCATGAAGCTGGGCTGGCTTGGGCAGCCGTCCAAGGTCATCTGGTGCTTGCACGATGAAGCGTACGTATATGGGGGTGGTTGAAATAATGCTTATTCACTCGACGCGATCTAATACTGACTGGCCATTGTGTAGTTGCATCCCGCCGTGGAGGATCGAGACTACGGCCGCTACTGAGGCTGTGGAAAAGAACGGGAGAACAAAGGTCCTGACGATGGATCAAGTGGAAGCAGTAACACTGGACTTTTGATGGGACTGCTATAGGATTGGGGGTGACAGCACTTTCAAAGAGAGACACATGCAAAGTTGATTTACAAATGAGAAAAATGGGGTTCATACATGTGTGTATATACATACAACAGGCATTATAAACATAGACTGGAAATGGATGCGTAATGTTGAATTATTCTGGACTGAATTGTATATGTGACCGGGAATAGCACCACTGTTGGAATTGACATGAAAGCTACTTTGCAACCGGTAAAGCAATATTCGAAGCCGTCCTCCAGGTGCAATTATCGAGCCAGGAACATCTCACACGAACGCCGCACGAACCATCGTTTCCAAAAAGAACCCCCCAGGCCCCTGTGCGAGCGGTGTTTCGGGGAATACTATCCCTACTTACCACTTCGAAAATACAGCCTACAGGCCGACTTGCGCGACAAGCATGCATCAATACCACACAGCAGACATGGGGGATAGTCGTAATGGGGTTTACCACGATTGGTCTAGCCATATAATTGAACGAGCAGCAGATCACGAGAAGAGCATGCATGGTTGACAAAGCCGAGGTTCCGCACTAGGCAGTACCCCGCACTGGAGGCCGCGCCACAATACTCCCCAGTTTTTCCCCGCCGGGTTGCCCGCGCGGTTTCTGATTAAGAACTTCGTTGAGTTCCTCTAATCAATGCTGGAGGGCCCGCTATTTTGATGAATCTAGAGCTCCCACCGGCTTGCTCTGACCAATTTGGAGTGTGACCTCCATGTCCCGCACGGCTCGCTGTTAGGGTACTTGCCGATACCGAAGCGCGAAGTCGCTGCCATGTGTTCGTTTGAACCCTTTTAGGATGCTCGGTCCTTGGGGAAACAGCAGCTGGAATAAAGTACAAAGAAAAGGAAACGAAGTAAAGAGAGAAAAAAGCCTCCTTAGCCTGTTCGTTCGCTTCAGACACAGGTTTCGAAAGCTATTCCGCCACTATTATACACTTCCGCGAACTCTCCCTTGTCGGGTGCTGGTAACCGCGTTCCCTCTTCTGCGCTCTGAGCTTGTCTTCTGCGACCAGAAACCCTACATCCATCAAATTTGCACCCTGCATTCTTTACACTCTCTGTCTGATCCTCAGACGGTGTGCAATTGCATCAGCATCATTGGGAGTAGTAGGGAGGCACAAGAGAGACACCCCACTCCGTCACTATGTCGCAGAACTTGAGCGAGCGAGAGAAATCGATCGCGCAGCTGGCTACCCAAGCCGAAGATCTCGGCAGCTCTGAGAAACCTTCAGATCTTGGGAGTGAGCCCGATGCTCACTTCTTGCCAACGAGGACTGAGCCCGAATGCCCTGACGGTGGTCGGGAAGCTTGGCTCGTTGTCGTGGGCGGCTGGTTTGGTCTGTTCTGTACGTTCGGGCTCATTACGACTGTGGGCGTCTTCTTGGACTACTACAAGGCTCGTCCACTAGCCAGCCACAGCGTCAGTCAGATCAGCTGGATCACGAGCTTGCAAATCTTTATTCAAGTTGGGGGTCAGGCACTGGTAAGTGCTCATGGTCTTCTTTTTCCCTCCTCCCTTACGTTCGCTTCCTGCCGACTACACTCAATCCTCGTTGGTCCTTTACTGACTATCTGGGCATGATTCAGTGGGGAAGAGTGTATGATTCCTACGGCCCACGGTGGCTCCTGCTCGTAGGAACTTTCACTTATGTCTTCGGCGTCATGATGCTGTCTTTATCTACCAAATACTATCAAATTCTTCTATCGCAGGCTGCCGTCAGCTCCCTCGGATCCGGCGCCATTTTCACCGCTTGTATGACAGCTACAACATCATGGTTCAGCAAAAGGCGTGGGACAGTTTTCGGTATTGTCAATTCTGGATCAGCTACGGGTGGCGTGGTCTTGCCTATTCTGATGACACATCTGTTCAAGTCTATAGGCTTCGCCTGGGCCTTACGGGTCGTCGGTTTCATCTTTTTGGCCTTCTGCGGAATATCATGCCTCACTGTGAAGACGCGCGTCCAAAATCAACCGAGGCCGTTCGCACTCGATGACTTTACCCGATGCTTTAAGGAACGGATCACGATCTTCACGATGCTGGGGGGTTTTTTTTTCTTCTGGGGTATGTTCCTGCCTCTGAGCTATATCATCATCCAAGCGCAAGCGAGTGGCGTCTCGCCTGAGCTTGTCCCTTACCTGCTACCAATAATTAATGCAATCAGCCTCATAGGGCGCCTAGTGGTAGGCGCCCTTGCTGACGTTGTCGGTCGCTTCAACTCTATGTTGATCATCACAGGTTTCACAGGCATCTTGACATTAGCGCTGTGGATACCTGGGAGTAGCAACACTGGAGCCATCATCGCCTACGCTATTGCTTTTGGGTTCGGGTCGGGTGGTTACGTTTCCGTCTTCCCTGCATGTGTAGCACAGATCAGCCCGATGGCAGAGATTGGTACTCGCCTAGGGGTTGCTTCACTCTGCAATGCATTTGGAGCACTTACCGGCAGTCCGTTAGGCGGAGCACTGATCTCGAACAAGGCTGGCGGTGGGAATAACTTCCTAGGCCTACAGTTGTTCTGTGGCTGCACCATGCTGTCGTCTATCTTTGCTTATGGGTATGCGCGATATCTACAAGCTGGCTTGAAGTGGACCAAGATTTGAGTTACTGGGTGAACAGACCGGCAGACGGGCAAGCTATTGAAGGCAGGGCGTGTTTCTAGCCGACCGTTCCTATCTTTTAGACTGTACATAGATACAAGCTCACAAGCCCGGCATAGAAAGCACAACACCGTGCAGGTCTCAATTGCCAGTTATTTCTACTCGAAGGCTTACGGGATATGACTCTTGTGGAAAAGAAATGTATACTAGCTACTATTTATATTGCCTAGTAACTACGAGCATAGACTTTAAGTTAATTTTAACAATGCCACAAGCTACACTATCAACGAATATTCCTTTACACTTCAACGCACTATAAATCTGTTATCACGTCCCTCAACCAGAACTTGGCGTTGATTTGGCATAGTTATGTTGCTTTGAATTTGGGGACGCGTTGGTGTCGGCACCTCGCTAGACGCCGCCAGCCGAAGGTGACTTGTGACGCGTCACTGCAAGTGCAGTATCCGTTGCCTTTCGGCCCGGGACTTGAAATTTGCTTGGCTCCTGGGAAAAGGCTCGCAGAATGGGCGCGACCTTACACAATTCAAATACGAAAGGCTCCTGCTACAGTTCTTCTGCAGTGATAAGATTTTCGACTATGCATAGTTATAGTGGGCGTGATATAGGAATACGAGGTAGTTATCAAGGCTCGATATTAGCTAGCCTCGCAAACGGATAGGCATCCAAAACAGGAAAAGTCTACTGGCAATCGCAGAACAACTAGCTCGACTGTGTATGCGGAAAAGTCTGGCGTGCGAGCCAGCACGCAAGCTACAGTGAGACAGATGGCGTTTTTGCTCTACTGACAGCATAGTCTCGTCCCTTGAACGCCGTCTTGTCGACCAAAGTGCAACATCTACTTGTACTTTCCCCGAAAATGTCGTACAGCACGCTTGTTTGAACCCTAACCCGGTTTCACTCGTATAGGATCCCTGAAGCTTGGCTAGCCCTAGATGGGTCTCCGTCTTCCCGCCGGCTTCACACCTTTAGCATATGCATGTCCCCCGCAAGCCCTCCATAGACGAATCAAGCCATTCAATCCCGCAATATCGCTCCTTCGTTCGTCTCCACAGCCTTTACCCCGGAGTCCCTTCCCCAGAGTATTCTCCCCAGTATTTTCTTCCAATCAAATCGTGTGACGCCTATCTTTGTGTCTGAAGTGAATCCCAAGATCAATGTTCCATTAAATATCTGCACTTGATACCCCCCCCCCCAATGGAGGTAAAAGTCAATCATACAAAATTACAGACATACAACTCGCAGCCATTGTGGCCACAACTTCTGACTTCGACACCACTCAGGCCAAGTCTTCGACCAGCCATGTCAAGCATAGTGAGAAGATCCTTGGAGATGACCATACGAACGACCATGGCCATGTTGAGGGCAATGCGCTTATCTTGGATAGAGAAGGCGAAATTCGACGCGTGCCTGTACCTTCGAACGACCCCAACGACCCGCTCAACTTTAGCGCATGGGAGAGATACTCTGTCATCTTCTGCTGCTGCTGGTTCTCGCTCCTGGGCTTATCGCTAGCACAAGGATTAGCCCCCATCCTCAACGTCATGACGGAAATGTATATGCCCCAAGGTTATACAGTTGATGAGATCTTATTCCTTATTACGATACCAACGCTGTGTATCGGCCTTGGCAACTATATCATCCTGCCGCTTGGCCTAGCCTTTGGTCGCCGACCCGTCTTTCTCGTTGCCACAATCATTTTGCTGGGTGCTACCATCGGCTCCGCAGTACAGAACTCATACAATGCCCACCTGGGTACACGCATTGTCCAGGGTTTGGCCACTGGCGCTGCCGAATCGCTTCTCCCACTTATGTTGACCGAGATCACGTTCTTGCACGAGCGTTCGCGTGTCTTCGGGTTGTACTGGATGATACAGAGCATCCTCGGATGCGTCATCAACCTGTCCACGTCGTACCTCAACCACGCTCTAGGATGGCGCTGGTTCTATTGGCTCTTTGTCATTACTATCAGCACTGGTCTTGTTTTTGTCCTGCTCGGTGGCTTCGAAACACAGTTCTATCGCTCCGCTGCCAGCGTTGACGGCCAGCTTGTTATCACCGATGAGTTTGGCGTTATGCATATCATACCCGATTCAGAGGCCCAAGCACATCTAGACCGCATTCAACAGCGCGAGGTTCAGCAGAGCGAAGGTGATGGCGTGGATGTCCCGAGGAAGAAGACGTATCTACAGCGCATAAAGCTATGGTCTACACCGCAGCCGCGGCCGTTTCACGTCATAGTAACAAGCTGGCTACACATGGCGCAGAGTTTGACGTCGCCTGGCATCATTTACGCTATTTTGACGTCGTCAATGGCGCTGGGTTGTCTTGTGGGCATTTCCCTCACATACAACGAGGTGCTGATACAGGAATACAACTGGTCGCCGGAGTCCGTCGGGCTCATCAACGTCGGTGGCATCATTGGCTCTGTGTTCGGCATGCTATACTGCGCTCTACTCGCCGACTGATTCGTGTTATGGGCAGCGTCCCACAATCGTGGTGTACACATGCCGGAGCACCATCTCATTACAATAGGACCTCCCGCTATAATCGGCGTCGGCATGTTGCTCCTATACGGCTTCACCGCCCACGGTGGTAGCACCTGGTGGGGACCCTACATGGGCTGGACCATTTTCCAGTTCGCATTTACCTCCATCGTTATCATCTCCTCTACGTTCGCCTCTGAGGCCGCGCCTAGACATCCGGGCCCGGCGCTGGTCCTGGTAATTGGTACCAAGAACATCGTCTCATTTGGTCTGACCTACGGTACTACCCCGATGATCGCCAAGCATGGCTACGAGTGGGCTTTTGGCGTGCTAGCAGGCATATTTGGAGGGGTTTTCTTGCTGGGCTTCCCAGTCTACCACCTCAACATCAAGTGGCGCGCCCACATTGCTAAGAAGGACAGCGATAGGGAGGGCGCATCTGGTACTGTATGATCCAGATTGATAGGTCAACCTTTGACAGGCATACAGAACACACACACACACACACACACATGTGAGTGTCTATTTTCTGGTCGCTTGGGTATCTAGCTCATAGGAATAAAGACCTATTTCCATCTCACTATGGTTTAGATACTTTCTAGATGCTGCAATTATATGAGGGGCTTGCTCTTAACTCCCCAGATCCCGATAGATAGACAGCAACGACTCTGGAATTACCATGTCTCCAAAATCAGACTCTTTCTAGCCGTATATTATCAGACTTGATCAGACAAGCCCACTGAAATCGAGGCTGCCGTTGTGCTTGAGACAAAAGTCAATAGGGGAATCGTAACAGTTAGTGAATCTGGTGTGTTAGAGGTATAGTGAAAGCGGGGACTTGTAGCCATCTGACCCGAGGCGTGTAGCGGATCACTAGTTGTTGGATGGGGG